AAACACAGCAGATGTGTGGGAGCCTCTTGTCTCCCATTGATGATGATGGTGAGGAGGTTCAGAATCCATGTGGTCTTCTGGCCCTCCTCTGGGACCCACTGTCTTAGTCAGGATTTCTTTTATAGCTGCGATAAACAGCATGAACATAAGCATCTTGGGGAGGGAAGGGTTTGCTTCATCTTAGGTTTTAGTCCATTTTCCAAGGAACTCATGGAAGGAAGCTGGCAGCAGGGGCTTAATCAGGAGCCATGGATGGCTGCTGCTTACTGGCTTCCTCAGCCTGTTTTCTTACAGTACTTATGACCACCAACATAGAGTCCTGCCATTACCTTCCTGGGATCCCAAAGCCTAGATCAGTTCTTTTCACAGACAGGACTGTCCCCAGCCTGCTTGGGGGAAAACAGGGCTAAATTTTACTCTTAAGCATGGCTTTCAAAAGTAGATACTCTAGTACTTGGTTGTTCTTGTCATGTCCAGTAGGCACCAGGAAAGCCTGGGGTACAGCCTGACAGTTTCAGTCCTATGGAGCTGGTCTGCCAGTGGTCACACAAAGTGGATCACTAAGGTATGGATGCCACTTTGAGCAGAACCAGACCGATCATCCAAGGGTAAGGCTAAGTTCCTTTGAGTCCTTGGTGTGAAATATAAGCTCATGTCTTCTGGAAGCTGAATCTTGCTCATCTGGGACAGATATTATGATGTAGCCTGTCTGCCATTCCACAGCAGGAGAAAAAGAGAAAATCAGATGCACTGTCCTCTCCCACAGCCATCTGGATAAAAAAAAAAAAATCAAAGCACTTGGAATCAGATAGGAGCCCTTGCCTACTCTTCCACATAACCTTTGGATACAGGAATAATATCTGTGCCTACTGCTACCAGAACCCAAGTTCCCAACCCTGTAGCCAAAGAAGTCTAGAGTTCTCACCCTCCATCTCTTTTCCATTGCTCCAGGCAAAGTGACTGCTATCCCCTTACCTAGAGTACCAGATCTTGGACTCAAGCTACTCTGCCCTAGGGGTCCTAAGTTCAAGCCCCAATTAGATTAGTGTTTTAGTCTCAGCCTCAGTTTAGATTGGAATCAGATGAGTCCTAGCTTCCACCCCTCCCGTGCTAGCTCTGCACACCTCTCCTCCTGGCTTTGGCCAGAGGGGCCCCTTGAGATGGTGTTTCTCAGAGTTGTCCTTTGCCCCTGTTTTCTGAGCACTGATCCACTGTGTGTGAGTACCTGGCTATGTGTGTATGTGTTTGTATCTGAATCAGTGTGTGTCTTCCAAGCCCTGACCTTCAAATTCAAGTGTTTACCCCGCCCTCTCTCATTGCATTCTATGTTGGACTCTTGTGACTGGTTCCTCCAGTTCAAATAGTAATTGAATCTAGACATCTAGAATGCCCCTCTAAAATTCCTTTTCACCATGGTCTCTCCCATGATTACCTTAGCCACGATCTGTCACTAGCTGCCCAGCCCCTCATACACAGTCTCCCCTCCTGTCCTGATCATGTCCTGCTTAATCCCACCACCTCACCAGAGATCCTGCCTACTCCATCCTTATCCCTCACTATCACTTTTAGTCTGAGCTCTCTTCTTCTAGGAACCCCCAGTAGAGCTGGGACAAGCTCCAGTGTATAACCAGAATACTCCAATGCTGAAAACATGATGTTTGAGACCAAGGCAGGGGAAAAGTTAAGGAGGCAAGAGCTATAAAGAATTTGGTGCTCTTGGTGGCTTTGGCACTTTCAACATTCTTGGTATCCATCACCTTGAGCCTCTGGTAGTTTGAGTCAAGACTTTCAACATGTTTTCAGTGAGCTTCACTCTTTGTCCACCTGATTCTTCTGGCCTCTATCCATGATAGAGGAGCACAGATACAAGGAAGACAAGAGTAGTATAGGCTTTCACAGGTTTCCTAAAGTTTTCTTGTCCTACTGAAAAAGGTCTTGGGGGTACAAGACAGCCATAACCATTCTAGAGTTCAAAACTAGTTGCTGGGAAAAGTCTGCATCTCCCAGGGAGCATGATGTCCGGCCCTCCCCTCCCTTCTCCTGGCTTCTGGCCTTGCAGAATGAGCCCTGGGAACTGGAAAACCCCGTGCTGGCCCAGACACTGGTGGAGGCATTCCAGCTGGATCCCAAACCGCTGGCCAGTGACGGGGAGACCCAGGCATATGCTGCCAATGTAGCCTTTGCTTCTAGCCCAGCTGCATGTGTTGCTACAGCTACTGCCTGTAGGTCCTTCAGTTGGATGGGGATCCTCTTAAGATAATGTTTGTCTCTTTGCACATTTCCCAGAGGTTAATGGCCAGTAATATGGCTGTCTCTGGAACTCCAAGCACAACTTCATAATCCCAGACCACCTTTAGCCCAGGAGATTGCTAAGAAGGGGCCAAAGGGCCTGTAATTTCTCTTGGGCTCCAGGAACCAGAAGAGTGGATGCCATCCAGCCTCAGACAGCCTTCCTGGACCAGAACAATTTCTTTAATTTCACTCAGCCAGCAATTATCAATGGAATTGACTTTCCATGTTCCATTACTTCTGCCAAGGCCCCAGAGGCCACACCAGAGAGCCCTAGTACTACTTCTAGAATATCCCAGACATTCCCTGCTAGGAAAGGGGCAAGAGCATCAAGTCTTGGGAGGCTCTGGCTCAGACTGAACAGGTAAAGCCTCAGAATGTTGTGGCCACAAGTGCTGCCAAGGCCAAAGTAGCCACAAGCATCCTAGAGCGTGAGGGCAGCCATCATTGCCCAGCACAGTGCTGAACACTGGCAAGAAGACCAAGAAGGTGAGATTTCCCTGCAATCTGCACAGTCTCTTGATTCCTACCCCTTCTTTCTCTCTTCCTCTCCTGTCTATTCCCTTCCCACCCACTCTTTTTTTTCTGTCTTCTCATGTCCCCTCTAACCCCTCCCCTCCTCATCGCACTCTTGTGTGTCCATGTGTCCACCACACATATATTTTTAGCGTATTTTAGTTAGTTCATGGAGTTTCCATTCTTTGTTCTGTTTGGAGAATGCACCAACCACTGCCTGTTTCCCTTGCTGCCAAGAGCCTGCTTGGGTAAGTATATGTGGGACACTCTTGAACAGAGCATCTGGAAGCCCTGGCTTTGTCTGTCATTTCTGGTACAGTCCAAGCACCTGGATAAAGGATATGAGAGCCGTGAAAAGGAAAGAGATCCCTTTGCTTACACCTACTGCTTAGAATATAATTGTTCCTGTGGTCTCCTATCACAGTGTTCAGAATGGCTGTCTTCAGCAGGAATGGCCAAAGGGCTGAGTATCTGAGGCCTCTGCTCAGATCAGGTGCATTTAACAAGTATGACCCACATTCCACAGACATGATGAAAGACGTCATCAAAGAATACAGTGAACATTTGCCTAAGGCCATTGCAAGACCTACCTACACTCTGGAAAAGCTGGGGGTGGGACAGGAGGATGATGGGAGAAACCCCAAGAGTCCTTAGGCAGGCTGTCAGACACCAAGTACAACTTCCTATCCTTATTGCTCTAGACTTTTTCTCCAGCCCACCACTGCCTAAGCTTCAAGTAGACCAGCAGTGTAGTGGGACACATGTGTCCTCCCCAGTGTCTCTATGTCCCGATCTCTGGAGCTCTATCTCCTAAAATAGATGCTACTCATGGCCCCTTGTTGTCCTGTATTTTCTCTTGCAGTCTCACACAGGCATGGGCTCCTGTCTGGGAGCCAAGGAAATGTCCTGAGCAGAGCTTGACTATGCATTAATACCCAGAATAGGGTGTGAATTCACTGGTTTCTCTGCAGGTAGAACTTCAGAATTTGCCTGAAGGAAATAAACAAGAAATAACATTCATTCCTGTCTACACAAGGAATTCTTCTGCTGCCTTCCGGGATAGTAAGGAAGGGAAAGGGAATGCTGCAGTCTTGTCCATGCCTGTATGCTCTAAGGAAAATAGGAGTCCAGGACTCAAGGACCCAGTAAGACTCTCGCTTTCAAGGAACAGCACACAGCAACTGCGGGCGAAAAGGTACCATGCTGGGCCCAAGCCTGTCTGCTTTGGGGATTTTGGATGCATGAACCCACACAAGTGCACACCTACACACCTACCTTGGGTAAAAATCAGCATAGCCCTTGCTGCTTCTTTCCTGGTTTGGTATTGACAGGCTGGTCCTTCATGGAGATGGTGCTTGTGTGTAGAACTTGTGACAGACAGGACAAGCAAACTACACATCTGTATCTGTACACCCTACAGCCTTTTGCAAAGCATCTTCTCCCAGCCCTGTTCCCTGCCTTACTCCACACTATGCAGAACCCAGAGAAGAGACGATCAGCTTCCCCTGTTAGAGATGAGGCAATTCAGTCTCAGGTTGAGCTGCTTCGAATTGTCTGGGATGGGAAAGAGGACCCCTCCATGTGATGGGGGAAAACTGCCCTATTGAAAGACACTGTTGGAGAGAGCTAGCTGCTAGTGTGGGAAAAGTGGCATCCACACAGGATCACTGTTCCTCCTTGTTAGGACCAAGGGAACTCCCTAGCTGAGGTTTATGCTGGTGGGGTATCATTTTCAAGAATAAAAATAGGGTGGTGAAAGTGAGCCCTCACCCTGTTGATGGAGTTTTGCCCATCCCGTGCTGTCATCCACAATGCCTGAGCCTCAGTTCTCTCCCCCAGCAGGAAAGGATCCAGGGCTGGAAAATCCTGAGATGGGACTGTGGTGGCCTGAGCTGGGAAGACAGCAGACGGTTCTCACCACAACAAACAGGTATCTGTCTGGAACTCCCAGCCCCTTCACCGCTAGCTCACTGTCCCCTTTGAGATCTCAGACAGTGAAAGTTGGGAGCAGTCTGTCCTGTCAGGTATCTGAGACTAGTGCTTATCTGGTGTTATGAGGGTGCTATGAGGGTGTTAGCCTCTTGTTGGGGTGCCTCACCACCCATGAGTGCTTTTAAACACATCTCTCACTGACACTATCCCCTAGTCATGGGTGTCTTCGCTTGCCCTCAGAACGAAGCATCCATTTCTTTGTGATCCAAAAAAAAAAAAAAAAAAAAAAAAGCTACTGATGACTTTGCAAAGCAGATGTAAGTGTTTCATTTGTGTGGTGATGGGCAATGGGAAAGACCATTCCCTAGGCCAGAATGCAAAGTAGAGAAACTCTGACCTCTGGTGTAGCCATACACAGTAGTCAGATATGCTGGTATTTTAGTTAGGTTTTCCATTGCTGTGAAGAGACACCATGACCATGTTTTTTTTTTTTTTCTTGATTTTTTCTTTTTTTATTAATTAATTCAATTTACATCTCCATCATAAGCTCCTCCCTCTCCTCCCAGTCCCACCCTCCCTACTTCATTCCCTCTCCCCTATTCTGAAGAATAGGCAGTCCCCTTACCCAGATAAACCCAGCTCATCAATCACATGAGGATTGTCTTTTTACCCTGTGGCCTGGTAGGGAAATGCCATCAAGGAGAAATGATCAAAAGAAGGGCAACATAGTCCATGTTAGAGATATCCCCCTCTCCCTTAACTAGTGAGCCCACACAAAGCCTAAGATGCCATTGGGTTTATCTTCTTGGGGTCTGTGCATTGTAGTATGTCTCTCCTATATTTTATGACTAAAATACTCTGATAAGTGAATATATAACCTATATATATTAGTTGGGGGGCTGGTTTACAGTTCAGAAGTTTAGTCCATTATCATGGTGGTGAGGAAGCATGTTGGCATGCAGGCAGACATAGTGCTAGAGAAATGATGGAAGTTGCATGTCTGGATCCACAGGCATGAAGAGAGAGTGACACTAGGCCTGGCTTTGAGCTTTTGAGACCTCAATCTCCTCCCCCACACCACCCAGTGAAACACTTCCTCCAACAAAGTCACACTTCCTCCAACAAGGCCACACCTCCTCATAGTGCCACTCCCTATGAGCCTATGGGGGCCATTTTCACTCAAACCACCACAGCTGGCATGTGGGAAGAAGAAATTGGGGAGCAGTCTTGGGGGAAAAGGGGCACAGATTGACTGAGAACACTATGCAGGGGCAGTGTGATAGGCCCATCACTAAGTGCTTACCCTTCAGACTCACACAAAATTCCCCTATCTTACATCTGAGGAGACTTGGGCTCTGAGATCAGAAGGCTCTGAGAACATTCATAGTGGAGAAACCCAGGGCACACCCCTTGTTTGGTCCTTAGAGAATGTGCAAATGCAGACACAAGCTAGTATGTATACATTCCATGATTCACCAAGGCACATAATCATAGTGTCTGTGCACACACGGAGACATACAGGGATTGAAGAGTGCCAGGTTCTTCCTTTTTAGTCATTGTCTATATAGCCTGTCCAGGACCCTTGCACCAAGGAGTGCTCAGAGCAAAGGGCTTAAAGAATGACTCCTTTGTTTACAAGGTGTCCCACCGAAACCTGGAGCCATTCTGATAAGAGGGACAATTGTCGCTTTTCTGTGAATAAATATGCCACACAGATAAGGCCTTGAAGCTCTTCCTTTTAGAAGCTTAGGTGTTGGGAGAGTGAGTCATGGCCTGCAGAGGCAAGCAGACCCCCTTCTGCAAGCTGAGTCACATAACTGGGGTAGGAGAGGGTTCCCCTGGAACTCATTGGGTCAGCAACAGATCTGCTTGATTAGAAGAAAAAGACATTTTCTTCTCACTCTAACATATCTGGAATACTAGCAGATCCACAGCAACACTAGATTCAAGTATGAGTCCCTCTCAAGTCTTTGAACCTGCCATGAGATCAGCAAGATTAGGGTCCTGAGGTTCATTGCCCAGGTACATGACGGCCTCTGTGCCTTGCTTGGTTCTTGGCTGAAGCTTTATGCACTGACCCTATCACAAAGCAAGCCTTCAGTGGCCCATGAGGAATTTACCTCGAGATTCATAGATGTCATTCTATGTGGTGGGGTGGAGGGAGGGGGCATTTCCAGCCCTGACATAGAACAGTAGGAGCTTTATTCCAGTTGTAGTCTGTTTTTGCCATTGTTTCTAACATAGGAGGATGTGGCAGCCAGCAGATGCTCCCTGAATGTACAATGGTCTTTAAACTTCTGTTTCCTACCTCAGCACCAGAACCAGTATCCTAAGAAACGGAAGGCTCATTTCTTGGAGGCAGTGGATGGTGCTTTCCAGAATATGGATGTGGATATGACTGAGGAACATGCCAGGGCCCAGATGAGGACCCAGATTAAGCTTTTTTTGGGGGGAGGATGGGGGATGAAGCCTTTATTGGACAGTAGAGCTGGGACAACTAGGAAGAGCTGCTGGCCCGAGATGAGGATGAGATTTCAATGATGCTTGGGCTAGGATCTCTTTTGCATTCTGGGCCAGGTATCAGCAGTGCACACTAAATAGCCACTGCACGAATGGGAGAGCCGCATGGAAGGCTGATAGCAGCAGCAGCACAGAAGGTGAGGCAGGCACCAACATCCTAGATAACCTCAGCATCTGCTGCACCATCTGGATCAGAGATGCCACCAGAGATGGCGCCAGTTTCTCCTATAATCCAATAAGATCATCAAAGGTACATGATGCCCCAACACACCCTGGGGAGCAGCTGAGAAATGTTGTGGGGAGGCCTAGTGAGGGTGGCACTGATGGTGGGGAAGCAGACTTTTTCATTGCGTCTCTCCCTTGTTGCTACAGGTTCAGTCTATGCTCTTTTCTTTGCTCCCTGTGTTCCTGACAGCATTGATGATATGCAGCCATCTTCCTTACCCAGGTATAGTGTCAGAGTCCCTCTCACACAACACCCGGCCTTTCTCCCTGTGGGTCAGAGGTCATGTGTGAGGGAAGGCTATTTTGTGTTTGTTTGTGTGTGTGTGTGTGTGTGTTTCTCATGTGCTGTTTCTTGTGTGCTTGTGGCTTTTGTATCAGTGTTACATTAAAGCTACAAAATCAATGTGGATGTCTTCCTTTACCTACCAAGGTTTGAGCTGTAGGAGGCATACGGGTGACTAGGAGACTTCTACAGACCAGCCAGAATCAGTGGACTCTGTTATGAGGAAGGACCTTGGCTATATGAAGGTTCAGGATGAGTGTGGGGAACTTGAGTTCAGAGAGGAGTCTAGATGAAAACTAGCAAGGGTTTCTTTGAAGCATTGGCTGGATGCCAACAGCACAAAGAAAAAATGGCATGGAAGACTAAAGTTTGGGGCCATTGCCTTTCCTCCGGGGATATAATCCACAAGCACTCACCCAAAAAAGCCTACGTGCCCCCTGAATCCTATCATCTTTGTGAATATAATGTTGTGTAAGCTTTTACTCATCAGTCTGATCATAATTCAAGACCCCCCTAGATGGGACAGGGTCTTAAGAAAAACAAGGCAAGCATCACAACCATCGTCTCCCCTGCAGTCATTAAGGGGGCTGAGCACTACTGACAAAGAAAAAATATGATGAAAATAAAGCTTTCTGTACACCTACCCAGCCCATTTTTAATGTGGCTGGGGACTCTGAGGCTCTTCCCTAGATGCTATTACTTACCAGTGAGGCTAAGGCCAAGCCTGGATGCTGCTATCTTAAGGGCTGGGTGATACCTGTCAAGGATGGGGTTTGGAAAGCAAAATTTCCAGGTATAAGGCAGTGAGGAAAGAGATTGATCTTGGGAGGGGTTCAGATGCAAGCAGGAAAAGTGTCTGAGATTCCTGGACTGTCCCAAGAACGTCCACAGTCAAGCTAGACAGAGCCCTACAAGGTCATGAGGGAAGCAATACTTCCAGGGTCCCTGCTCCACCTCACTTCTTTTACCCAAGAAGAAACTCTCATGTAAGATACACAACTGTTTGTAAACTCCAGTTCCAGGGGACACAACACTATGACACAGGCAATGTGTGCAGGCAAAACAGCAAAGCACATAAAATAAAATAAATTATTTAAAAAATATTCTAAGAGAGTGACAGGAGAGCAAAATACCAGAATGGAAGGATATAGAGGATAGGGGAAATCGCATAGGTATCACAACTAGGACCTAACTGTGCCTTTTGCAACAGACTTTGAGGTTAGGAGGAAATCCATCTTGGTGGCCTGTGCTGTTTCTCTGGTGTTAGACTTGATATGTGGACATATGGACAAGGTGGGCTTTTAAAAATCCAATTTACAATCTTTAACTGGTATACACACATGCTGTCTCTCACTCAAATACACACACACACACACACACACACACACACACACACACCACACAAGGAAGTCCTCATCTATTTTGTGCAAAACATGAGGGATGTCTGTGACCGCAGGCCAGGTGTGTTGTGTTGTATACATGATGGCTAGGATCTCCTGAAACTTTCTTGAACATTGTTGGCCCATGCCTTCTCTAGCTTCAGGGCAGGCGAGGAGACTAAAAATAAATCAGGAGTCTGAATATGACCACAGTTTGCAGAGAGTGATTTCGATAGGGTATAGCACATATGGAAAAGAGGAAGCAGGTCCGAGGGGCAGATAAACCACTACCAATCCTCCTGCCAGAACACCTTTCCAAGAAGGCCTCACTAGGAACATATACCTGCTACTCTAAAAGGGGTGGTTCTGACAGCAATCAGGTCAGGGAAAGCAGCATTGAGGGCTGGGAATATTAAGTGAGATAGCTTTGGCAAGAGTTCAGACAACCGATGTTCAGGCTACTTTTATGTCAACCTCACACGAGCTACAGTTATTTGGGAACAAGAAACTCAATTGAGAAAAATCCAGCAAAATCGACCTGTGGGCAAGCCTGTGGGGTATCTTCTTGATTGATGATTGATATGGATGGGCCCAGTCCATTTGGTTATTAATCCTGAGTGCAGTCAGAAAGCAGGCTGTGGAAGCCAGTAAGCAGCAGCCTTCCATGGCTCCTGCTTCAGCCCCTGCCGCCAGCTTCCTTCCATGAGTTCCTTGGAAAATGGACTACAACCTAAGATGAAGCAAACCCTTCCCTCCCCAAGATGCTTATGTTCATGCTGTTTATCGCAGCTATAAAAGAAATCCTGACTAAGACAGTGGGTCCCAGAGGAGGGCCAGAAGACCACATGGATTCTGAACCTCCTCACCATCATCATCAATGGGAGACAAGAGGCTCCCACACATCTGCTGTGTTTACCCCATCACAATCCTCCCTACCCCACAGAGACACCCCCCCCCCGAAATGAGCAGCAGCAACAGTAGCAGCAGCAGCAGCAGCAGCACAAGGCTCTGATTGGCAAGTGTGTTCTCAGGCCTCTGGATGTGCCAGGTTGTGAGGCACACCTGTGATGTCTGACTGCTCCCACAGAGCTTCTTCCTCCACCTTGGCCTGCCCCGACTAACCCCTATTCCCCTTGCAAACAGGAAAAACATTGTGAATTCATGGGTTTCTGGTGCCGGCTGATTATGGAGAAGTTTTATTTGGAGATTCATATAAAATTTACTGTTTGGCATGTGTTTCCTCTACCTGCACCGCAGAGGGGGCGGGGCAGGTGTCCTATCTTCCCCATTCCTCAGATGAGGAGCCTGAGGCCCCAAGAGGGAGGCCACTCTGTCTGATGGTCCACAGCAAGCAGGCAGCATGCTGCTGCCATGGAGAGAGCCATAGGGCCCAGCAGGGAGAACCTCCCACCCACACTCTGTCCTCACTCCCATCCCCCATGACTACCTAAGCACACATGCCTAATTCCTTCTCATCGTCCATGATGCTCTCTGTTCCTGTGTGCTTCCAAGACTGAAAGGGGAAAACAATCAGAGGAAAGCACGGCCTGCCAGAGACCACTGATCCAGCTTTGCCAAGGCCTTAGTGAGCTTGACCCCAGGCTCTTCTCCTGGCTGCACAGATGCCTTTTCTCAGGTTGCCATGGAGGCGGCTTCAAGTGCTTTATCCATTTAGTGTTAGGATGTCAGTGTTTGTGCTGCAGACATTTTCTCATAGACTATGGGTTGAATTTTCATTTTGCTAATGAGGAAGAGCACAGGAGACGCTCCATCTCAGGTCCAGCCTGGGTCTCTTTGTAAAGACCCTCTCTCTGACAGGAGATAGGGAAGCCTGGAGGAAGGGACAGGAGATGCCTCTTCCCCAGCTGTGTGTGTCACATTACACCTTTCCACGACAACAGGACACTTTACCCTTGTCTTGGCTAAACCTAAGCCTGCTTCCTCTGCCAATATGGCTCCAAACAGAAAAACATCAGTTTCAGGGGAACCCTAGCAGCACTGACTCTAATTAAATTCCCAGATACTTTTCATGGTCGCTTTACCCACAGCAATCATGTGGTCCAGGCAATGTGGATGTGATACAGTACACATACATCCAAGACAATCCTTGGAGGGAAGGTACACACACACTCTCTCTCTCTCCCCCTCCCATGTGTGAGTGTCTCCCTCCTTTCCATTCACCTTCTTCCTGTCTCTCCTCTCCCTCATCTCTCTTACTTCCCTCCCTGCCTCCCTCCTGTTCTCCTTTCCTCCACTCCTCCTATCTGTTAGTCACAGAGATCGATACATTTCTAGAAATTACTAATTCTTTTAACGGGAACACTTTGCTAAAATCTCTATTCCCAGAGGGCTTTATTTCAAGGACCAGCTCTGCTTTTCTCCCACAGCCCGGTGAATGCATCACACACTCAGCTTCAGTTCCCATGGCAACTGAGGCTCATGATCTAGGGACTAAATATGAGACAAAGGGAAGCAGAGAAGTGCCTGTGTTCTCTGCTCCTCTGCAGTACACAAGCCTCTATTACGGGGAGAAAAATGGGGCCCTGCACATTTCCACCCTGCCCTCCCATCACTGCTTGGTGGAGGCACATAAGAAGGTACAGAGATCTGAGATGAATGTCTACATGTGCATACTGCATCACGGTGCCTTGCAGACCTCTTCCCTGACTCCCACTCTTGCCAATAGTGGCTTATACCCCCCCAAACAATAACTGTCTTATCTAGCTTCTCGCTACTCTCAAATTGCTTCCCCATTTCCACACTCCCTGGCTTGTCTTATAGTTGGCGTTTCCAATCAAGTGTATGACAAAAAAAACCTCTATGCAGCCAGGGCAGAATTTTGCCTCCAGAGTCACACTTCAATCCTCACCAGCAGAGTCATGAGGGACAGGAGAGGTGTTTCTCCTCTCCCAGGTGACCTGTGGGACCTTAAGCCCAGGCAAGGGGTTCATTCTTTTGGGCTCTCACTTCCTACAAACTGTTGGGCTTTAAAAAGATGGACTCTGGGGAGATTACTGCTGGATTCAGCCTCGCAGAAAACACACCAACTGATTCAGTCCCCCACCCCTGCCTCAACCTCTTATCCTGAGGAGAAAGCTTTGGCCTTTGTCTTCCTGCCCCATTTCAGAGACTGCTCAACACATGGAAGGGCCAACAGCATGAATTTGCCACCAGACGCTGCACAAAGGCCATCCTTTATCCCCAGTTTCTCTTCCGTTCACTCTCATTATTTCAGTGTGTCAGGATATACACTTGTCCAGCCACACTGTCCTTTCCTGGTATTCAACTGCCCACCAGTTCATTCCCCTGGCCTGGCTCTCTTGGCTCCCAAAGCCCAAGAAATTCAGCTACAAGAAATTCGAGGCGTATGCTCATGGCTATAACCTTCATGCAAGGGAACCACAGAAAGGCTTGCCACCTTCCTGACCTCCAGGGTCTTTGTGAGGCAGCCAGTCTGCATTTACAATGGCTGTTTGCACCCATCACATACACTCAAGTGCATTCATGTGCCAGTGACTCTTCCACGAGAGACTCCAGATCCAGGTTTCCTTTGGAGAAGATCCCAGGGAGGAACGGCAGTTCAGGAAGGAAAAACTTACCTTGTCAGTGCTGCTTCTTGACAGCATCCCAGCCTCCGTCCCACCCCACCCCGCCATTCAGAAATCAACTGCTCCCAAAAGGCCAGGCTTTATGTGTAAAGAGACCTCAGACTGGAAGGTGAGCAGGGTGATTGAAATGTACAGCAAAGATGTGAGGAAGGCATCGCTATGTATGTATGTTCCCAGGGGCCAAGAGCAAGCAGCCATCCTCTGCTCACTACAAGAACGTTAGCCTTCTGGAGAGATTCCATTTCATGTCATGCCAGGACCACAGCTTCCCTGTTGCTTCTTGAGAATTTCCATTCTCTGCCTCTGCTGAGAAGAAAGACAGGCCCTGCCTTTTACTGCATTGTAAGAGCGTCTTCTTTTCTTTCCTCTCTCAACATGCCATCACCCTTATCTTTAGCCGCCTTTTAATATGTGCACAGAGAGAGACAGAGACACGCGCATCCAAGATCTGGAATTACCCCAGTGTATGCATGTCTTAATCTCGTCCTGCTGCTCTACATTAACCTGTACTGATTCTACTAGATCTTGGAGTTTTGAACCAAGGTCCTCACTATTTACACATCTCTGGCTTGACTGAACCTTCAATGTGTCCAGACACAGGCCTGTGGGCTTTCTGCCTTTCTTTTTAAATGCGGGTTTCTCCAATCTCTTTAACTCTTTAAAATCTTGAATGTTTGCAAGTAATCTCTGTTTTTTAAAATTTATTCATTTTTTTAATTTTTAAAATAATATTTTATTTATTACAATTTATTCAGTTTGTATCCCAGCTGTAGCCCCTTCCTCATCCTTCCCAATCCTGCTCTCCCTCCCTCTTTCATCTCCTTCCATGCCCCTTTCCCAGTCCACTTGTTCCTTGTTTTCACCTTCTTCAGATGCCTATCCCATTTGCCTTTCTGAATGAAGGTTGATCACCTTACCCAGGGTCCTCCTTTTTGCTTAGCTTCTTTAGGTGTACAGATTTTAATATAATTAACCTATATTATGTCTAATATCCACTTATAAGTGAGTACATACCATAGCTGTCTTTCCGTTTCTGGGATAGATCACTCAGGATGATATTTTCCAGATCCCACCGTATGCCTGCAAATTTCATGATTTCCTTGTTTTTAATTGCTGAGTAGTATTCCACTGTGTAAATGTGCCACAATTTCTGTATTCATTCCTCAACTGAGGGACATCTGGGGGGTTTTCAGATTCTGGTCATTATGAATAAAGCTGCTACGAACATGGTTGAGCAAATGTCCTTATTGTGTACTTGAGAATCTTTTGGATATATGCCTAGGAGTGGTATAGCTGGATCTTGAGGAAGCACTATTCCTAATTGTCTGAGAAAGGGCCAGATTGATTTCCAGAGTGGTTGTACCAGTTTACATTCCCACCAGCAATAGAGGAGGGTTCTCCTTTCTCCACATCCTCTCCAGCATGTATTGTCACTTGAGTTCTAGATCTTAGACATTCTGATGGGTGTAAGGTGAAATCCAGGGTTGTTTTGATTTGCATCTCCCTGATGAATAAGGATGTTGAGTAGTTCTTTAAGTGTTTCTCTACCATTCAATATTCCTCTATTGAGAATTCTCTATTTATCTCTGTACCCCATTTTTAATTGGATTACTTGATTTGTGGCTGTTTAACTTCTTGTGTTCTTTATATATTCTAGGTATTAGTCCTCTGTCAGATATAGTGAAGAGCCTTTCCTAATCCATAGGCTGTTGCTTTCTTCTGATGACAGTGTAGTTTGCTTTATGGAAGCTTTTCAGTTTCGTCAGGTCCCATTTATTGATTTAGTGATTGATTGATCTTAGAGCCTGTGCTGTTGGTATTCAGTTCAGGAAGTTGTCCCTTGTGCCAATGAGTTCTAGGCTTTTCCCCACTTTTTCTTCTAACAGGTTTAGTGTGTCTGGTTTTATGTTGAGGTTTTTGATCCACTTGGACTTTACCAGGGAACTCCTTTTCCTGATGAATACCTTCAGGAATGTGGCTGGATACAAAATTAACTCAAAAAACTCAGTAGCCCTATTATATACAGAAGACAAATGGGCTGAGAAAGAAACTAGGGAAACAACACCCTTCACAGTAGCCATAAAGGACATAAAGTACCTTGGTGTGACTCTAACCAAGCAAATCAAAGACTTGTATGAAAAAAAACGTCAAGTGTCTGAAGAAAGAAATAGAAGAAGATATCAAAAGATGGAAAGATCTCCCAAGCTCATGGCTTGGCAGGGTTAATGTAGAAAAAAAATGTTCATCTTACCAAAAGCATTCTACAGATTCAAAGCAATTTCCATCAATTTACCAACACAGTTTTTACAGACTTTGAAAAAAAATTCTCAACTTCATATGGAATAACAAGAAACCCAAAATTGCTAAAACAACTCTCTACAATAAAAGATCTTTTGGAAATGTCTCCATCCCTGATCTCAAGCTGTACTATAGAGCAACAGTAATAAAAACTGCATGGTACTGGCATAGAAACAGGTTGGTGGATAAATGGGTTCGAATAGAAGACCCAGAAATAAACCCACACACTTACAGACACCTCATCGTTGACAAAGATACCAAAACCATGCAATATAAAAACCGTAGAGCAAATGGTGCTGGTCTAAATGGATGTCTAATTGTAAAACAAATGTAAATAGATTCATACTTATCACCCTGCACAAAACTAAAGGCCAAGTGGTTTTTTTTTTAAAATAAATTACAGCTTATTCACTTTGTATCCCATCTGTAGCCCCCTCCCAAACCCACCCTCCCTCCTTCATCTCCTCCCATTCCCCTCCCTAAGTCCACTGATAGAAGAGGTCCTCCTCCCCTTCCCTTTGTCCCTAGCCTATCAGGTCTCATCAGGACTGGCTGCATTGTCTTCCTCTGTGGCCTGCCAAGGCTGCTACCCCCTTGTGTACCCTAGTAATGAGAACAGGGACTGTCTCTGACATGAACTCAGTGGCTGGCAAGTAATCTCTGTTAATCTTTTTTTTTTACTTTTATTAATTACACTTTATTCATTTTGTATCCCCCCATAAGCCCCTCCCTCCTCCCCTCCCAGTCCCACCCTCCCTCCTTTCTGCATGCATGCCCCTCCCCAAGTCCACTCATAGGGGAGGTCCTTCTTTCTTTATTTCTGATCTTAGTCTATCAGTTCTCATCAGAAGTGGCTCCATTGTCAGGGTTCTAGGTTATCTCCACGGATAGTCCTTGGTTGGAGTATGAGTCTCTGAGAAGTTCCCTGTGTTGAAATTATCTTGTTCTGTTGCTCTCCTTGTGGAGTTCCTGTCCTCTCCAGCTCTTACTATTTCCCACTTCTTACATAAAATTCCATTCACTCTGCCAGACAGTTGGCCATCAGGCTCAGCATCTGCTTTGACAGTCTGCACAGCAGAGGCTTTTAGAGGCCCTCTGTGGCAGGTTCCTAGGTTGTTTCCTGTTTCCTTTTTCTTCTGATGTCCATCCTTTTTGCCTTTCAGGATGGGGATTAAACATTTTAGTTAGGGTCCTCTCTTTTGCTTAGTTTGTTTAGATGTACAGATTTTAGTGGGTTTATTCTATGTTGTATGTTTATACGAGTGAGTATATACCATGTGTGTCTTTTTGCTTCTGGGACAACTCACTCAGGATGATCCTTTCCAGGTCCCACCATTTACCTGCAAATTTCATGATTTCATTATTTTTCATTGCTGAGTAATACTCCATTGTATAGATGTACCACAGTTTTTGCATCCATTCTTCAGTTGAGGAGCATCTGGGCTGTACACCCAAACACAAAAGAATTTACCTTCTTCTCAGCACCTCATGGAACCTTCTCCAAATTGACTATATAGTTGGTCACAAAGCAAGCCTCAACAGATACAAGAAGATTGAAATAATCCCTTGTATCTTGTCTGATCACCATGGAATAAAGCTGGACTTCAACAACAACAGAAATAGCAAAAAGCCTACACACACATGGAAACTGAACAACTTGTTACTAAATGACAGCTGGGTCAGGGAAGAAATAAAGAAAGAAATTAAAGCCTTTCTAGAACTCAATGAAAATGAAGACACAACATACCCTAACTTGTGGGACACAATGAAAGCAGTGCTAAGAGGAAAGTTCATAGCACTAAGTG